TCATCCCTACTGCCCGCCGCGTGTTCTATGCGTGCTGCCTGACTGCCTNACCCCGCCTAATGGAACCGATGTTTCAGGTCGATATCCAGACGGTGGAGCACGCGATGGGCGGCATCTACGGTGTGCTGACGCGCCGCCGCGGTGTCATCATTGGCGAGGAAAACCGCCCCGGCACACCTATTTACAACGTCAGGGCGTACCTCCCTGTTGCGGAGTCGTTCGGCTTTACCGCTGACCTCCGTGCCGGGACGGGCGGCCAAGCGTTCCCGCAGTGTGTGTTCGACCACTGGCAGCAGTACCCGGGCGACCCGCTGGAGCCGAAGTCGCAGGCCAACACCCTGACGCTCAACGTGCGCCAGCGCAAGGGTCTGAAGCCGGATATTCCGCCGCTGGACACCTTCCTCGACAAGCTATAGGGTGGCGGCAGAATTGAGGTTAATAATCGTAATTGTTTTATTAATGGAGGTATTATTAAATTTTTTGAAGGTGTTCGGGTCGTATTGGATACATTAAAACTATAATGTTTTCTGTTTTGTTTTGTGTAGCTGGAATGAATATACTGCTTTTTTAGAACTATTTGTTTAGAACTATTTTTTTTTTCGTTGTTTCTTGTTTTTTTTTTTTTTTTTTTTAGGGATTGGGTTGTGGAAGAAACACCACACTATTTGCGGGTGGCCGATGAGGCTGAGTCTATAAATGTGGTGATGGGTCGTAGCATATACTACGGTTTGATGCTGTTGCGCTGCGATGATCGTTTCCATGATTTGTTATCATCGTTTTTGCACAGGGATTCTTTAGCTGTGTAGTTGCATCTGGCGAAGTTTGTTGTGGCGTTGTAGTCGCTCTGAGAAGGGGTCGGAGCCTTTGGATGGGTACAAGCGATTATGAAGAGGTGAAGTGATGTTTTATGTGGATTGGTACAGGAGTGGCATGATGCGCACTGGCGTCTTTGAGAAGTATCCTTACAATCAGAATGAGTTGCAGCGGATCATTGAAGAGGATGGTTTGGAGATGCGTGTTTGGAGGCACCAACGTGAACTGGAGATAGAGTCGAAGCAAGGGAAGATTGATGATCTTCTTCGTATGAACGTTGTGAAGAATACCGAACAGCCCCGTGCCTATTGATTGGTTGCTGTTTGCATTTGTACTTTTTATTGTATGTGCTATTCTACCGATGATGCCGTGCAGTTTTTGTTGTACTGTCAAGTTCTTTTTTTTCATTTGGCACATTTTTCTTTTTGTTGGTTTTGACTGCTTGGTTGTGGTTGTGGTTAATTTTGTTGCTGTCTCTGTTGCTGTTGTTGTTTATCACGTTGTGGTGTGCACACAGCCTCTTGTAAGCGGTGTCGTTTGAATCACTGCGAGATGCACAGCAGGTGGAATGGTTACGAAGAATGCAGTTTTTTGGGGTGCGGTGTGTATCCACTTCGTCGCACGTCACGGATGACGCCGGCCGGCCCCGCGCCGCGTATGCTTGACATGATTGAGGAAGATGAAGATGAACCCCAAGACATTATCGATGATGCGCTCTATTTATTTAAGCCCCACATGTTTTTTCGTACTTTCCCTATTAAAGGCGCTGCAGATCGCGTTGTTCTGTACGTTACGATGTATCTTCATGAGTGTTTGAAGAAAATTGTCTTGCTGACGCGTGACGAGGCTAGTGCTGTGCTTCTCAACTATGCCACAACGTCGTTTGCATCACCAGGAGAAGATGAATTCTTGTTTAACGCCTTTTTCTCTACTGGGACCGAGGCAGAGAAGGAAAAATGGCGGGAGTACGCAAAGCAACTTCGGTTGGAGGCAACCGTACGCCTTCTTGAGAAGGTATTTCTTTTTCCTGAGAAGGACGGTACCGGGAGCAAGTTTTGGATGTCATTTGCGAAGAGGCCGTTTTTGGCATCTAGCTAGAGGCAAGAATGCACGTGAATATAGGGTATACGGTGTGGCATGGAATCAATTATACGTATATGTGTAGTATACATTACTGCATATCTTCTTGCTTTTAAAACTTACTTTGCGATAGTACTTGTTTTTTACTTATTCATTTCCTGACAAGAAACTGCATTTGTAGCGAAGGATGGCGTGGGCTCATCTATTTTTTCTAGTGGTTGCTGTCTTGGTGGTGATGGGGATCCCGGCAACTGCAACAGCTGCAGAGGATGACGATATGATCAGTAAACTGAAGGGAAATTGGAGTATTTTGAGGCTTGCGGGACAACATCCACAGCGAACAGGATTTGAAGTCGAGTTGTCTGCTGCTTCTCTCGTCTTGCGTAAGGAAGATGTGGAGCAGAGTGTGCTGGTTACAGTTGCGGAGTCCGTATTGCGTCTACTGCATCTGCTTGGGGAGGAAGATGACAACAAGTGGCTCTTGGCTCTGCCCGCTGCATGGCGGTTGGGCTTTCCGCAAGTTGTGAATGCGCAGGTGACTCGTGAGGGTTTTCACCTCACGGACTGTCCCACGGCAGGATCGACTTTATTGCGGCCCCAGTACCACATGGAGGCTGCGCTCGGTACTCTTTTTGGAACGCCGCAAACCTTCTACCTCCCTTTTGATGGGACGTGTACGCAAGCCCCTTTCACGCTGCGGGGGTATTGGATGGAGTGGCTAAGCAAGGACGAAATTATCATGGTGGCCATGATACGCCTTGGTGGCGAGGACCGCAATGCCGTTTTTCAACTGCGCCGACAGTTGACGGAAGGGACTGCTTCACAGTCGTCCATCGCCTCTATAGGATTACTCGTGGCGGTCGCCCTGATCAAGTTTCTCCCGTCCTTGTATTGGAAGCGGAAAGGAGGAGCTCCACTGGGTAGAAACACGTTTCCAACGCTCAGCCGGCCCCTCCTTTCTGAGTTCCGTCGCCGTGAACTTTTGCGGCGGCAGGAAGAGATCATTAAACGCATGAAAGAAGAAGATGGAGTGTCCTAACCTGTGTGTGAGTGTGTGTATGCAATTTTAACTATGTACGGCTCTGCAGATAACTCTGTGAAGGATGGCAGTAGAGCCTGATTTGTGCGGTGCCACATATAAGCTGCTGGTACGCCTACTGACCGCGTCTTGATCAATCTTTGGCACTATTTTTCTTTAACTTGTTTTTTTTTTTTTGTGTTCTTGTGATTTAATTTCAGTCAAGGCGGAAACGATTGTATGCATAGCTCTGCTACAATGATACCGTTGGAAACCTGTATAAGTATTGACGATTCCATCTTGGAAAACTCGATTGATTTTTGCCGATTTGAGGGAAAGACACATCCACAAAAGGAATGCGTTTTTGCTCCGCCCTCACAGCTTGCGAGTGTCAAAAACGCAGGTATAACAATGAGTGGTTGGGGTAGTTCCACGAGCGCCGTTTTTCTCATTGTTAGCTCCTCGCTTCGATGCCGTTTAGTGGCACGCTTTTTCTGCACACGACTCCTTCATTACCTGCGTTGGTGTGGTGAGAGCGTCATGTTTTTCCTTGCAGGACCCAATGAACGCGATATTGAAGTGCAACGCTTTGAGGATGATTCGGTGGTCTGGGAGAAGTGCGTGGAGTCATGTTTGGAGAACGCATTTAAGTATTTAGCCTCCAAACCTCGTCTTGGTTTTGCAGCTGTTCCTGTGGTGATCCTTCTGGCTGACTGTGAGTCAATGGATGCATACGACAAATTGCACGGCATGCTGAAGTCGCGGGGAAAGTTTTTCATTCGTCACATCTGGTTTGATGAGGACTGGAGGAAACACAGTTCCCTGAAGGGCCTTTACATTAGTGTGTGCTTGAAGCAGCCGGCCTTTCGTGTGACGCGAAGTAAAGGTAGTATTGTCTGTGCAAAGGCAACTGGATACCTCAACAGTTGCCTTCCGCGGCTTCATCAGGTTTATCTTGACGAACCTTTAGCGGGATCACTGGATCAGACGCTTCGTTCCTTCTCACCGCTCTTCTTTACCCGTCATGGGCAATCCGAGTACAACTTACAGGGCCGTCTTGGTGGCGATCCCGACCTCACAAGTTTGGGCAGAGACGATGCCTTGGCAGTTGCCGAGTTCTTTCGCAAGCAGGTGGTGGGAAACAAACGTTTGTTTGCATCACGAGATGCTCGCTGGGACGAGAACGGGGGATTTGAAGTGTGGTGCAGCCAGTTGAAGCGCACACAACATACAGCTGAGCCCTCTGCGCAGGTCCTGACAAATGGGGAGTTGAAGACACTTAAAACTTTAAATGAAATCAATGCTGGTATATGTGAGGATATGACAAACGATGAAATCAAGGCACTTTACCCTCTGATTCAGTCTTTTAGACACACGGACAAGGTGGGGTTTAGATACCCCAATGGTGAGTCCTACCGGGACCTCTTGCGACGCCTAGAGCCCCTCTTACTGGAACTTGACGTCACACACAAGTGTGTTTTGATTGTCGCCCACCAGGCAGTGCTACGGACCCTCCTCTCCTTCTTTGATGGCCCGACGGTAGATGAGGCTGTTCATAAACCGTGCCCTCACCGCACTGTCTGGTGTTGTACATATAACCGACTGGGTGAGCCTCGTTTGACGACCATCACACTTAAACCCCGTCAAGAATAATTTAGAGGAGGATTGTGAAAGAAGTGGGTGTTGATAGTTGTCTTTGGTGCGCAGTGTTTGGAGTGAAAGTTTTTTCCGTGTTTTTTTGTTTTGTTCTCACTTTGAAATGTCTTTGGTCTACTTCATCTGACCGTGAATGCAATCAATTGATGGTTTCTATTTAAAACTTATACTTATCTTCCCCGATTTCCATTGACGTACATTTGAGAGTGGGGTGGGCGCTTTGAGACTTACGTGTGTATGCACATAACTGTATATATAACTACATCCACGCGTGTATCAACATGAGGGCATTTTTTGTGTCCTTTTTATGTCATTTGCATGTATCTGAGTTTGGTAAGCTGCATTGTAAATATGTATTATTATCTTATTTTTGTTGTGCTTAAAAACAAAAAACAAAAACAAAAAAAGAAGAGGCTGAGTGTGAGTAGACGATGATGTGCTGTCTATGGTGAGGACTTCACTCACCAGCATTCTAGCTCAGGGGACCCTATTGGTGCTTTTGAGCTGTGCACACTGAAATTTCGTGGTTGGAAAAACAACTTAATTTATGTTCAAGATGGCGTTGAAATGTCTTCTGGAAGGCAGGTTTCCATCTTATCGATGGAGGTGGAACATGTTGTGAGTCGCTGTGCGACGGCGTATGAGGCTTAATGTGTCCTAAATGCCTTCAGACGCGGGATAGCTCTTCTCACCCGGCTGCGGCATCCAGGCATTCTGCGGGTAGTAAAGCCACTGGTTGAAGATGAAAAGCACCTACGCCTTGTGACCGAGCGTCTCTCATTTTTACTTCCAACTGAGCTATCTAATGTATGCCTTTCAAAGCAGGGGATTCTCTTTGGATTACTTGGATGTGCTGTCACCATACAGTTTATCCATAAGCGTGATGGTCACCTACTCTGCGATTTCTGCCCTCAAGCTGCGTGCATTGTTGAGGGGGAATGGAAGCTCTTTGACTTCTCATATGCTGTACCGGCCAAGAACGCTGCAGCACTTGGGTCATCACATTCACTCTCTTCTATTGCGGCACCTTTGTTGGACTATTGCTCCCGTGAAATTGTCGAGGCCTTTAGGGAAAAACCATTTGAGGATCTTTTTATGCCCAGCCCTTGCGAAAAAGATTAAGATAAAACTGTTAGATAACGATTTACTTTCCTTTGTGATTGTGTGATTGGAGGCATTGTCTGGACGCAAGGCCTTTAATTGTGGTGGCAACCCTGACCTATACAGCAGCCAGCACGGGGGTCTTGAAAAGGACTTTGCCAAGTGGTTTTCAGGGCATTCATTGTCCGTGCCTCGTCCCTCTTTTGCCGCACCACGGAAAGAGAAGATTTCTGCCAGCGAGTCATTGTTGCTTTTGGAGGCCTTGGGGAGGTACGACACCCTAGACGCCGCGGCTCAGTTTGACGTGTTGAAGGGGGTTTACGATGGCATTGGTCGATTTATATTTGAGGAGGCGCTGATTGTGCGGGTCATCGTGCCCCTGATGCGTCGTGAGGGTTTGCAAGAGAGCCGAATTCGATGCGCTCTTCCTATTCTTCTGCAGTGCTGTCGCTGCATCTCTGATAAGGTGTTTACTGCACACCTTAGGGATTTCTTTACAGCCTTTTTGAGTGGAGTGAGTGCTGCAGAATCCTTTGAACGCATTGGTAATTTTGCGGAGGTTATACTTTGAGAAGATGGATCTTTTACTGCAATTTTTTGGCAATGATTGTGACAAAAATGCGATTATTTTGCCGTTTCTCGAGCGGTGTGTTGAGGTGAAGCTTGAAAGGAAGAAGGTGGCAGAACTGGCGGTGGACCGTATTGCTCAACTGGTGGAGGCGATTGGTGGATTAAAGTTTTGCGACTCTCTACCCGATCATTTGATTGATCTTTTACTCGGTGAGCTTCAAAGTGACACCACTGTGTTCATATCTTTGGGGCGTGTGGTGTGGTACGCGTCAATTGCAACACGGCAGTTGATTGAAACTAGACTTATTCACCATGCAGGCGCGCGCACATTTTAACCGCGAAGGACGTCGGGCACCCTGAGTAGAGCGTTGTCCCTTGTTGAACTGAACGTCTACATGAGGGGTTTTCGCGGGAGCACAAGGCCATGCGGAGCATTCCGCTTTTGGTGCCCTGCTTCTTAGCGTGTCTAGTTAGGTATTGTCATTCAGCAGGCGAATGACTGAGACGCTGGTGGTGGTGGTCACAGTACTATCCCGTGTAGACGCAGTCCATGAGGCCCACCCGACAGCCACACATCAACACCCTTCTGCTTCTTCGTTGAGCTTCAATCTGCTCCGCTTCCTCGAGGTCACGAATGTCTCTCCAATCCTTTCCCGACCCCCTTTCCCTCCCACACACTTTCTGAACAGATTACAGGCGCGTCTTGGACAGTTTTGCTAAGTTGCACTTACGTGGAGTCCTATTGGGATAGCAGTCTTTGTCTCATTGCACTTGTTGTGCTGCCTTGGCTTCCCTTACCCATCTCACTGTGAGAAAAACGACGCCCCATCCCTTACTTTTTCTTTCCTCCGTTTCTCATTGCCTGCCTCAATCAAGGAAAACGAATCAAACAAAAAAAAGGAACAGTGTCACGGAAGCATTTCAACAATGTCCGGTCAAGGCGAACAATCACCAGGTGCTTGGGGAACAAGTGCTGAGATGTGTTCGTCATCGTCTTCTTCGTTTTCCGTGCCACCAGAGGGAAGTAAAACGCATTGCATCAGTCAGACGCTTTTTGAAACTCTACAGGAAAAAGGATTTAGCGAAAACGCCATCAAAAAGTCTATAGTTGCAGGGTGCGTGGATGCGGGCACCTGCACACAGTGGATCACAATGCATGAGGGACACCCAGAGCTAGACACCCCGTTAGAGGATGGTGTGGAGGTGGTTGTGAAGGGCAAGCGCGTCCTCACCGAAGCTGAACGTGAGAAGAAGGTGCGCGAGCTGCGGGAAAAAGCCAAGGCAAATATTGCGGAGGAGAAGCGGGCTGCCATTGAAAAGGAGCGTGAACGTATTGCGATGGGTAGGAAAGCGATTGAAACACAAGAAATGCTTGAAAAACTTCGACGGGAATCTGAGCTTGCGGAAGTGCGGAAGCAAAAGGAAGCTGATCGCATTGCCAAGCGCCGGGTAAAGGTTCAAATACTTGCCGACAAGTATGTGCGTCAGGGGAATACGAAGGAAGAGGCGTTCCGCATGGCTGAATTGGAATTTGAGGAGGCTGCACAAAAACGACGTCAAGAAAACGTACAAGTGGAGAGCAAAGGTGTGGAAAATGTTAGAGGTAGTGCCCCAAGCACCGCTTCGTGGGATATTGAGGGTTTAATTGCACAGAACACCTCTCTTTCAGACGTTTTCAACACACCTCCTGCGCCGCTGTCTTTGTTGCCGCGGCTGGTGGATGGGGTGCGCAACCATGAGGATGCTGCGATGGCTCACCAGTGCCTTGCGGTGCTGCTAACCATCTTGAGAAATATACGTGAGAACCCCTTTGATGCTAAGAAGCGTTCCTTGAAGACAACAACAGGCGCTTTTCGCATGAGAATTGGTCCCGTTCCGTCTGCCATTCAACTACTGCGCACATGTGGGTTTCAGCTCGCCACGGACGAGAACGGGAACGAATCTATAATTTTGACAACAGTTGTACTTCGCGTGATTGAACGAGCAATTGCCTTGCTCTCACAGGAAACGTGAAGATCAGGCTTTCTTGCAGGAACCCTATGAAAACTTGTCTCTTAGAGCGAGAGAATGAGAAAGAGAGAGATATGTGTCTCCCTTGACTTTAAAGAGACTATCTGGGTATATATATATACGGATGGATTACCCTCTTGATTTCTTATTATTATTCTTTTTTTTTTTGTGTATTACTAAATCTGCGGAAGAATCAGTGAAAAGTGAGGAATGGCGGAAGGCCTGAGAACGGCTGCATCCTACGATGAGATCGCAAGAAAGCGAGCAGGCGACATGACAAGCAAGGAGTCCCCTTTCCGTTTTTTTAACAATTATGTAAAGAAACGTCTCATTCAATTTGCTTTGGATCATTTAAAGGATAAGGTGGGATGCTCCGGCGCAAAGGTTCTCGACCTAGCCAGTGGGCGAGGCGGTGATATTGGGAAGTGGCTTCATTGTCAAAGTCCCGAATTGAGTTTTCTCACGGTAAAGTTGCCACGAACACTTTTAACTAGGGCGACCTTTTTGGATTGTTACGATGTTTCTTCCGAGTGCATTGCCGAGGCGAGGAGACGCTACAAGGCGATTGCATCAGATGCCGAGTGTGATTGCGATTGCGTCTTCACCGTTAAAGATTGCTTCAGCGAGGAGTTTCTCCGTGGCCAGCTGCCAGCGTCAGAGAATTTTGGTAAATTTAACATTGTCTCCATTCAATTTGCATTTCACTACGCATGTGATACACTAGAGCGTATTGACATGGTGATGGCAGCAATAGCCGGTGCACTGGCGCCTGATGGTGTGTTTATTGCGACGACAGTGGACGAAAAGGTTCTTGCTGAGCGTGTGAGAAAGAAGCAAACCAAAAGTAGCGGGTTGTTTTCATTGTACTTTGATTCGGAGCCCGTGTGGGAAGGGGATAGGCTTGCTGTGGGTACGAAGTATCATTTTGAATTGGAAGGCTTTGTTGACTGTGACGAATATGTTGTTCCGGCCTCTTACGTCTGTGAGCGTGCCATGCATTACGGCATGGAGGAAGTGACGGAATTTTCAAAAACGTTTCAGTCCTTATACGAGGGATACAAAAAGAACCGGAACAAAAATAAGGGACGTTATTTGGTTGGCGGCGCGTTGGAGCTTGCCACACTGTACCGCACCTTTTGTTTCCGTAAGGTGAGTTAATATATGTAGCAGTGAAGAGACAAGATCGCTGGTGGCCGTGTTTATTTTTGAAAGCGACAGGGTGCTCTTTTTAATGAATGAGGGGCCTTTAGTCCGCTTGGTGATTACAGCTGGTTTTTATTTTGATATACTGTTTATATTTATTTATTTTGTGTGTGTGTGTTGGGGTTTAATTCTATGAAGTTGCATGGGTGTGTTTAATTTTGCTCTTTGATGTTTCTTTTTTCCCCCCTTATCTGCCCCCTCCTATGTCTGTTGAAAGTCGACTCCCCTTGAAAAAGTATCGGGGAAGTCATGTCGACAACAGCTGCCGCAGCAGCTGGTGAGAATCCCTTGCATGCCGTCCTTACCGAAATGCTCTCGGATGCGCATGGAGGGTTCGTGAAGCAGACACGCGTGACGCCTCACCAAGGCAATTGGAGGACACGGCAGGTGATTCGGGAGTTGAAGGGAATTAAATCAGTGGAAGATCTTCTTTCGACGGAGGAAGAGATTCGAGGGGTCGTCAGAAGCCAGGAGACAAGATGCCGTGTGAAACTTTTCAACGCCTTCTTATCTGGTCAATATCTTATGGAGGAGAGGGCATCGGTGCACGCGGAGGAGGAGCGCTGCCGCCACACCTTGACGTGTGTGGCTCTCTCTGTGTTACACAATGAGGCCAGCCTACTCTCCCTTGTTGGACATGAAATGTATGGAAGATATTTACTTGTGATGGCATGGAAAGGGGACAGAGTGAAGTTCAGGAAATGCCATAATTTGGAAGTCTTAGTACTAAAGGAGCAAGGCCGTCGTCGATTCCTGACGCAAGCAGAGGGCATAGACCGCATGGAAACTGAACGGAGGTGCTTTCTGGCAGTGAGTCGTGAAATTGACATGGAACTTCAGCTTCAAATATTTTATCGGGTTACTTCTGCAGCCCGTATCAAACTTTCCAAGTTTACGCTTGACCTTGCGCTACTCACTGCGGACGAAGAGCGCGAGCGGTGTTCTTTGGAAAAACTGTATTTGCTTAAACTTAGTTTGCTGGCAAATGACCAAGAAAATGCTGCAGCACGTTTGGTTGTTACTTCAGTCATGCGGGCCTCCCTTATGCGGCGGAAGTTACAAGATGATGCTCAGTGGCGGGAGCACGCCTCAAGGTTTATCTTATTGCCTGCTAAAGAGCTCGACATTCGTTGCGTCATTGAAAGAAAAGAAATGGAGGAGCGTCAGACACTTTGGGTGACTTTCTTAACGACGTGGCGCGATGTATTTAAGCGTACAATGATCTCGGAAGAGGGTGCTGCTATTGTAGAACGACTTGAACTGTACGAACGACGTTGTGTATTTGATCAGTGGCGGTTTGGTTTTAACGCACTTCACGAGAGACAGGAACGCGATAAACGTGTTCTTGCATGCCACGAGGCTGCTTGCGATTGTTTCTTGCAATATGTTGCTGATACGCTTTCTGCCTTGTGGAGAGAAGAAAGCGAGCATTTTAATGGGCTACGTAAGCGGTACTCGGAATTTGTCTGGTCAAGCCGTATGCTTCGAGCCACGACTGTGTTGGATTTTGAAGAGCGTGCGGCGCGCCAACGCATTAACGAGGGTGAGGCACGGGAAGTAATAAAGGCGCGTTCCTTGCTTTATATTTGCCACTGCAAAGAGGCTGCAATGCGGGGAACCGTGTCTATTATGGAGATGGAAAATGCCTGCCGTCTTTCTCTGATGCAGTGGCACATGCGGGCTGTGGAGGATGCCGGCTTTCAACATTTGCTCCATGAGGAGGAGTGTCTTCGTCTTGATATTGAGTTTGAGGCCCGCAGCGCGTGGTCAGACATTGTCCTGCAGGAGAGTGCGCCGCGTGGTCGCTCCGTAAGCTTGTTAGAGAGCTTAGAAGACGCGCAGCGTGCGCTTTACGTGAGGGAGGAACATCGACACTTTACGAATCACAAGCTGGTGTCGTTAATGTATGTAGAACAGAGTAAACGAAGACTTCTCCGCGAGGAGGAAGTGGAAGGTCGTGTGGGTCTTTACGCCTCTGTTTTGGCGCAGGTGGAGGCATGGAACCGATTGGAACTCCAGGCCGAAAGCCAACACAACTTTCTGCGCATTTTACTCAGCGCCGCAGAGCACCGTGAGCATGTCGAGCGGGCGGTCTTGGGTGTGTGTGAACACGAGAGACGTGAATTTATTTTTGGTAGTTTTGATTACGCTCTTCCATACTTGCGGAGCTGCGAGGTGGATGAGTTGGATGCCCGACTAGACATTATTAATGAGGCTGAGCTCACTGTGGGTGCATTGGCGTGCAGATGGGGACGAAGCTGCCGTCTGGCGTACTGTTCAGAGGAGCTCCGCCTAAGCCAATGCATTCTGCGTTTCATGTCTTTAACAGAACTGCTTCAGTGCCATGAAGTGGAGTTGCTGGGTGTCGTTGAGCCGCTGTCTCGAAGGGCGGTTATCGACAGGGAAGCATTAGAGCGGTTACTCCTGTTGGTGGAGGCTCATGAAGAGCGAGGTCGAATGCGGATTGAAAAGGCAGCCACTGATGCCTACAACGCCACTCAAGACTTGTTTGACCGCCTGCTTTCGCGTGCAGATGAATGGCGTACGAGAGGCGTATTGCGAGAGCCCGTTATTCTCACTGGAAGGGAGGCTCTCATCGACTACTTTCGTTGTCAAGAGACATTTGTGGCGGTTCGTCTTCGAGCCCAACAGGAGAAAGCCAGAGAATTGCTTGGGTCATTCCTTACCGATTTTTACTGGGGACGTGATACCATTGTGGTGGAGGAATTTATTGGGCGTGAAGGCATTATGGGGTCTCTTCTTCGACCACATCTTCCCTCATGTGTGGTGGGGCAGGAGTCTGGCACGCAGTTGACCGTTCGCCTTTACAGTATTGCTTTGATGACAAACGATGCGTTGCGGTCGTTATTCATCAAAGTATATGACTCTGTGGATGATGTGGGAGTAACATGCGAGCTGCATGAGGCACAATCCTTGATTGCCGCCGGCCGCGTCTTTCGTGTCTGCTTCCCTCTACGTCTGATGAAGTGGGTTCGACCCCTGACGAACGAGAGCAATGTGCTCTACTTTGAGGTCAGAGATAACGAGGGAAATGTGTTTACGACTGCCTCTCTATTTCTTAGAAGTGAAGAGTTGAAGCTTGCCCCTGGTGCCACAGTTGTACCAGTTACCACAGACGACAAACATGGCAAGATGAACGTGGTCCTTCATGTACATTAAAAGTGGTCTTTGTCTATCTCCGCGTTGTATGCAGGAGAAGTATAGGAGGTTGCTCTACCCCACCTTTGTGCGAAGAGTTTGGGGAGCGCAACATATATATGTATTTTTTGTTCATTTACTATTTTTATATGTATATCTTCATGTTTTTTTTTGTTTGTGTGCTTGTGTTTTCTTCGTTTACGGGTGTAGTGGTTTTACGTCCTCATTTCTCCCTTGTGAAGTTGTATTGATGACTGATAGAGAGGGAGTCACGCTGCCTACATGTTTTGTAGACGTGCTACTGCGTGACATAAGTGAGCAGTTTGCCGTTGACGACACAGCACGAGTTGTGTTTAACCAATTTGCGGAGTTTCTTCTGGAGGATGAGCGAGAAATGGAAAGACTCCAAGACGATGGCATGGGCTTGTGAGCAAGTAAATAGTCTACGACACTTCCAGCAGCACTCACGACTCCACTTTATTGGGCAGTGGAAAACACGGGCGCATGACATATTCAAGGCTTGGTTTGCAGCACACCCCTCCTGGAACCACGGCGCCCTCGCCCAGCAGGTTCTATTTGCGCACATCGACATGGACGCCTTTTTTTGTAGTGTTGCGCTGGCGAAGGAGGAGAATGCGCACCTGCGGGACAAACCCGTATGTATTGCCGCAGGAAAAGGCAACAGTGACATTTCATCGAGCAATTATATTGCCAGATCATTTGGCGTGCGTGCTGGTATGTATGTGAATGCTGCGAAGGAAGTTTGTCCCGATTTGCAGGTTTTAAGTTATGACTTGCCACGGTGCGAGGAAGTGATCAAGTGTCTTTACCGTATCCTATTTGAGCTGTCTCCGGATACGGTGAGCATTGCCATTGAGGTTTACAGTATCGATGATGTTATGATTGCGTTTGACACAGATAACCACGAGACGGTGAAGCGTTATTGCGTCAATGTCCTTCATACTTTAGAGAGTGCCACAAACTGTACAGCCTCTTGTGGGATTGGACCAAATATAATGCTTGCTCGCATTGCTACACAATATGCCAAGCCAAATGGAGTATATTTTATTCCACCTCAAGATGTATCAGGGCTTGTGGCGCAGCTACCATTTAATGAAATTCATGGAGTCGGCGAATGTACCATGGCGAAGTTGCGCCCATTGTTGCAACCGTATTTGAAGAATATAGACATCAGCAGTGACGATGTCCTTTGTTGTCATGTTCAAAAGCTCTCTAAACAACAGCTCCAACGGGCTCTGGGTCAGAAATCAGGAGAGAATTTCTTCAACCTATGTCGGGGCACTGACACACGCCAAGTATGCCGAACAGGTGATGAGGAAAACCGGCGAATATTGGGCAAAAAAAAACCTTCAAGTATCAGCTGTTCCATGAACTATGCAGTCAGGCCGCTCACGTTGGATGATGTATGGAGCATTGTGAAACAGTTACTAGAAGTTGTCTGCAACAAAATGGAACGGGGCGGTTGCACTAGCTCTGGCCTGCGTGTCACCTTATTGGAGCGTCATCCACTGCACCCAAAGGAGACGCAAAAATTTATGGGGAGGGGAAGATGTGTTGAATTTCACATTCCCATTGCCTTTGAAACGCCTTTGAAAAGCTCTGCGCTGGAGCTAATGCTTTCTCAAGTGAAGGACGCCCTTGCACCGCTGCTTGTTTTTGCACGTCAAATGACCGATGAGGAACGGGCGCGGGAGCTTGGTTTAAAAAATGATGCCGACTCGAAAATTATTTGGACTGTAAGTCTTAAGAGCGTAAGTGAAGTTGTGGTATCTGACATTCGTGGGATGACGATTCAGGCTACTGGTCTTCATGCGGTACGAGGTGCGGTGGGTGAGCGGAAGCGCTCATGCGGTGAGCAGCTTGCTCTTGTAAATGCCTTTTCAAGGGGCATGGAGGGGAAACGGCAGTCGTCAGTGGTTCTATCGAGCTCCTCCACTGATACCGCTCGTGTGGTGGAGAGCACCTTTGAGTTGTCTGTTGTTGCGGAATTGATGGATTGTGAGGTTGATGAGGTGTTTATTGAGAAGTGGAAAAAGGCTGTTAAGGAGGTTAGCGTCCGCATGGATTACACGGCAGCCAAAGCTCTCCTTCGCGTTGCTGCTTTTCAGTGCACGACACAAGCAGCACCATGCGATTTTAAGCTGCGAATCTTTCAAGATCTCGTGGCGTATGCAAATACACTGTTACCTGTTCCTGTTGCATTTGCTTAAGTTCCAAGAATCAGGGGAGTTTGACGAGATTACAATGCCAAGCCACGTAACACGTACGTGACAGATTGTATTGTATAAGAGCGGTATACAATATTTATGGATTACATGAGTCCACCTCTGCTTGTTGTTGTTGTTTATTGGGTGTTTTTTTATTTATATATCTCTTGTCATGCTGTTTTTCCCCCACTTTTTTAAAATATATATATTATTGTGGGGTGAGCTCTCTCGTGTTTGAGATGAACACCATTCTGCTCCAGGCACTTCAACATGCGGGGCGTTCGCTTAAAAAAGGCAATCACAATGAGGCGGAGAGTGTTATTCGGTCTCTACGGGCCACGAATGATCCGGCAGCGGCAGAGAACACAATTCGCATACTGCAAAGTGACGTTCAGCAACTGGACCAGGATGCGGCATATGTGCATTTCGCCGCTTTTCGCCTATTGCGGTTTTACCTTACACGTCGTAGGATTGTGTGGGGTGAATACACAAAACGACTGCTGAATTTTTTTTTGGATTACGTGGAGTCAAAAGGAGAGCAAATTGTGACTTCTACGTGTCGTCCTGTGTTATCTGAGGTGGCCTTGGATGCAGCTGTCACATTAAAACTTAGCTGCGCTGATGCCGAAGGATACTTTGATGCCATGATTCTTTCCGAGGTCGTTACTGAGGTGTTGTCTCTCCTAGCCGAACATCAGCGTGAGGTGCGTACCATCTTTGTCCGTCATGTGGTGATGCACCTTGTGGAGGAATTTGGTCTCTACCATCCATCGTCCAAGGGGAGGACAAAGCCGTTACGGTTTCATCGTGCCTGCCGCTCCGCCTTTGAGTGTGATGGTTTAGTGCGTCTTCTTGACGCTCTCTTGTGCTGCGCGGGTAATGCTTTTGCGGAGACGGCTCGAACCGTTGAGGCGCTTCTTCAATGTCTTGGAACGATTATGTCATGGTCGGCTCATAACTTTTTTGAGGATGAGGTTACCGAGGATGCATGCAACGATTTATTTCGTGTCTCAGGTACTCTGTGGCACACGCTACTTTTGGAAGGCGTCTCCTTACCTGTAGGGAGAGTCACCATAGACTCTCTTCTTCGCAGGTGGTACTCTGAATGTAATTTGGCTGGTTTTTTTGTCCATCCACTAACGATTGTAGAGCTCATGCAGCATTTTTGTGGCGTTACAATGGAGTTATGGAACCTTTTTGAAAAGGTGAACTACACCGAAAGATTTCTTTCGCTTGCGTGTTTCATGACAAGAAAGTTGCTTGCTTTTGTAGCGCAGCATGATGAGGTGCGTACCAGTCTGCCTCTTGCTCTTTCTGGCATTCGGAACATTGTGGAAAATATGGCGGAAGTCTTTGTCGTTCATGACTTGCTATGTTATTGTGTCACAGAGTTGTCCTTCTTTGCGAAGACTCTCATTGAATTCGATAGCAATTTTCCAGACGATGCTGGCATTATGGCTGCTTTGGATGAGGCCTTGAGTTGCCTGTTCAAAATTTCCACCATGCCGTCTTGTCAGGATGCCGCACGTGGTGTGATTTCTGCAGCAGGGATAGAAGTGTTCAATGCATTCTTGTCGATTAAATTGTCTTGTACCCTTTCCTCAGGGGAGGCCGAGCACTTTTCTGACACCTTCACAATGTCCCATGTTTCTCTCTTAGGGCACTTGGGCCGGTTAGATCCAGGGCAAGCCGCGGTGGCATTGTGCCTGGCATTGGAGACGCTGCAGCAGCGCGATGCAGGCATAGAACATCAGTCTGGTTTAGAACGCATCCAAGTTCAAGAATGTCTTTGGCTGGTTTTGAAGGTTATTAATGCCTTTATGGCTGATTCCTGCGAGGGTGAGGAGGTTTCGATCCCCTCATGCTTTACTGGGAATATCATGTTAGAATCACATCCAGTACACAAACTCATCTCAACGCTTATGATTTTTATGCAGGAACTTGTGCCAAAGTTGTCTGTGGCAAGCCCTGCTTTAGTGTCGGCTCTGTTGGAGGTGTTTGGTACATTCATGGCTGTTTACGTCGTCACAGACGAGAATGATGGTGGGGGCAGTTATTTCTTTGCCCACGGAGTCATAGCCCTCATTTCTTGTGTTTTGAATTCACTACGTATTTTTTCCTTTGATGAAGATGTCACGCTCGCCGGGTGTCGGGTACTTGAGATAAGCGTGAGGAGCAAGGGTGTGGTTTCCATTCTGCAGACATCGGGGCTTGCGGAGATGGCGGAGGACATGGTGACTTGTGGTCAAATGTTTTACGAAGATGTTCGAGGGCGAATCGTTGGGTTTTGGATTTGTTGTATTTCTGCTGCCACGTTCTCAGAACGGGGGTTGCCTGTTCTTGAGACCTTTGATATTGGCGTGTCAGAATTTACTTCCGTGGATGTCAACGTCTGCCTCGAACGGTGCTCCTCACTTGCCGGGTTATTTGTATCTCTGCAAGATAGTGAGCGGCTGCGGGTGTGTTTTCGCTCTGTTATGTGCCTCTGCGATCACGTGCTTTCGGTGAGTGTCTGCCGTTTTTACGAAAAGGAGATCACCATTCGCGCCACCGAGTTAATACTGCGGCTGTTTTTGACCTGCTCCGTGGTGTTGCAGGGGGAAGAGACAGTGTGGATGATAGATAAGGTGCGCACGACGCTCGACGCAGTCCTCAAGACACTGGCTGAGGACCCCACCTGGAGCACGGAAGGCACCGAAGAGGAAAAGCACAGACTCTTAAAGTTGCTTTCGCGACTCTTTTGTGAGGTCTCTTGTTGGGCAAGGTTGGAGTGCACGCTTCCCTCGGAGCTTGTAGGTCCCCTAGGCGCATCGGTCATTTCTTCTCTGGCGGTGTTTTTAAAATTGTTTAATGAACGCTCGTTAAGTTTTCCAGAGCTGCGAGAGTCTGTCTTTGTCGCGTTTCAGCTCTCTGCTGAGGCCTTTACACGTGATTTCGTGTATCATGCAGATTCGCAGGTGTTTTTATCGACGCTTTTGTTTGCGCTAAATGGAGAATCTGTTGATTTTCAACGTGTTGGAATAACTGTTGCCGACACAGTGGTGACGTACCTGCGAGACTCGGGTTTGCAGGACCACGTGTTATTTACCCGGCTTCTCTCGACTGTTTTGCGGGGTTTTGTGTTGGGTAAGCTTTCGCTCTCTCTTTCCTTGCAATTGGCACGGAGTCTTACAACGCTCTGTGGTTGCCTCCCCTTAGAATCCGTGGAGTTAGTCTTCATGGAGACCACCCGATTGAATTCTGACCCCAACGTGAGTGCCATTATGTGGGAAATGATGCGCGCCGTTCAGGAGTGCGTTGTAAGTGAGGGGCCTAGTCGGCAGGCGGCTCTGCGTAGTTTGGACGAGTCTATTGCTGACAGTCTGGGCAATATTAGGACTATTCTTCTTGATTAAATTGGCCGCCTCTACACAACGGATGTGTGTGCGTGTGTGCTGCTTCTGTGTCTCGTACTTGATGCTGAGTGCGCTAAATTTTCATGACATTTTCCTTTTTTTTTTTTTTCCTTTGGTGCTTCCAGTAGTATACGCATCTATATTTATCCCCTTTCTTTCCCGGTTGCTCTGTTTTTTTTCTTTTTTCTTTTTTGCCCTTCAACCACACATACAATATATATATATATATTGTGTGTGGCTCCCTCAATGGTCACCTATACGTTTTTTGAATGATGAGAAGAGGCCTTTACGTCTCTCTCTTTTTGCCAGGTTTTGCAGTGATTGACTTGTAGAGAAGCGTGGCGTCGGCAAGCACAAATAAATAAATAAATAAATTGGACCCCCCAAATGTCGCTCCAGCAGACGGCGTACAGCGCATGCTCACGCAAGGTGCACTGCGTGAGTAAACGTTACCTAGAAGATCCATTTGTCCACTTCTTTGCCAAGGACGCGACGATGATCAATAGTCCTTTGATGAACCGTGGAACGTGGCTCCGAACCGTTGCAATAGAACATGCAGTGCTGTCATTTGCCGAGAATCGGTCGGTGGATGGTCCGCTGCAGGTGATCAGCTTTGGCGCAGGCGTTGACACGTTGTACTTTCGTTTGAAGAAAGATCACACGGAAGTTGATATCGGGCGGTACATTGAACTTGACCTTCCGGACTTGGTGGCAGAAAAACGGGGCATCATAGAGCGAGTCGGAGAAATGAAACAACTGGTTGGTCCTGAGTATGAGTTAGTGTCATGCGACCTCCGGAAAATTGATGAGTTGCGTGAAATACTGAAAAAGTATGCACGTAACGATATACCTACGATATTGTTGGCAGAAATGGTGTTTGTCTACCTGGAAGAACGTACTACCACAGCTATTCTTGAGCTGACGCTTAGTAAGCTACTCAATAAAGATGTATGTGTGCTATTTATATCATATGATGCTATTTGTCCCAATGACCGTTTTGGGGAAGTGATGGTGAGTTCCCTCGCTTCGATGGGAGTTCCGCTTCTTGGCATCAAGGCATTACCCACGCCTGAGGCACACGCCGAGCGATGCAAAAAAGTGGGACTAACGAACGTCATGGCAAAATCCATGAAGCAACTGTATCTTTCTGTCCCACAGGAAAAACAGCAGTGGCTGAAAAAACTTGAAATGGTGGATGATTGGGATGAGTGGTGTATTATGCATGATCACTACAGCTTTGTCCTCGCAACAAACAAGGCGGAGGCTTTGCCTACAATTTTCTAAACATCTTTGTTTGCTTGCTTTCCTCTTACTCCCGTTTTGCCTCTTGGGTACATTTTCCATGCCGTGCCACTCTACACGGCATTTCAGAGTTACATCCTCTTTGGCCACGCCGCTAGGTAGGCAGTAAGATATAAATGTAACTTTATACATGCATGCATATCTGAAATGGGCCACTATGAGTCTTGTGATGTCTGAACCTGCACATTGTGTTTATTTTTTGTTTTAATTTTTTTTTTTTTTTTGTTGTGTGTGTGATTGTTTTCTGTTTGGTGCGCAGTCTTTCACTTCAGCTGTCATTGGCTCTGCACGCCGCCATAACGCGTCTTTCCACGTGGTTTGAAGAAGAAACAAAGAAAAGATGGGTTTGGACGAGCTGAAATTGCAGGGAAATGAAGCATTTAAGGCGAAGAAGTATGAAGACGCCATACACTACTACACGAAGGCCATCGACTTGAGTCCTCAACCGGAAGCTGCCGCTGCGTTGTATTCAAATCGCGCAGCTTGCTGGCAAAATACGGGAAATGCGGCGAATGCGCTGAAGGATGCGGAGAGCTGCATCCTGCTAAGACCATCTTGGATAAAAGGACACTACCGAAAGGGGACGGCGTTTGAAAGTATGCAAAAATACGACGAGGCGTTAAAGGCCTTTCAACAGGCCGCAAAACTGGAGCCTGGAAATGAAGAAATTGCTGATAAGCTGCAGCAGTTGGTTCTCATGCTGAAGGAACGCAACGAGAAGGCGTCTCCAGGGGCTTGTAGAACGCCCGATGAGGCTAAAAACATAGGGAACTCCTTGTTTGCCGCCGGAAACTTTGAAAGAGCCATGTTGTTCTATTCTCGTGCGATCGAGCTTTCCCCTGAGGGGAATGCAGAAAAGGCCAATTATTATGCAAACCGTGCGGCTTGTCATCAACAAACGCGCAATTATCATCTTGTTATCAATGATTGCGACAAGGCCCTTGTAATTAATCCCACCCATGTCAAGGCTCTGCTTCGCCGTGCTATTGCGTATGAGGGACTGGAGAGCTGGAGTAAAGCTCTGAATGACTATAATCAGGTTAACCGTGCGTTTCCTGGGATGCCGGCAGTGTCACAAGGCGTGCTTCGATGCCAGCGTGCTCTAAGGGGCTAAAAAGTGCGTCTCTCGATACCGCCCTATGTTTCTCTTTTGTTTTTGTCGTCGGTGTGTTCTGATCTTTTCTTAATATATTTATTTATTTATTTATGAGTATTTATTTGTGTATCAATATATGACAGAGCTGTGTTTCTACTCACGCAAATAGCGTTTACGGTCCCACTTGTTTTTGGCTTTACATTTTGTCTTATGGAACAACCCCGTTTAATATATATATTATTGATATTGCCTTGCTGTTTCTGTTTTTCTTGATGAGAAACTCCCCTACAGAAGAGGAAAGATACCCCGTGTGTTTTGGGGTGAGAGAGTGGGTAGTGGAGATGCGTACCAAGCGCAGGCTTCTGTATCTCCCAGATGAAGAGGCTGAACTCTTGAGTGAGCTCACGAACTCACCGCGCCCACGTCCCTCCCGTCTTTCTCGTTTGGCAATTCTTTCGTCGGATGACAATAAGATTGCTTCTGCGGATAACGGCACGGTAACTCCGGCTGCGGAGGTGGTGGACTCTGCCTTGCTCGTTTCTTACAATAGCTATGCGTTGGCGGATGGGTCAGGCACGCTTCATCCACCACTGGCCTCAGGGGAGGCCATGGCTCTATATAAGTCGCTTCGAAAATGTTGCCGTTTTGTGCGCACGTTTTTGAAACGCCAATCGACGTCGCAAACAACAACGGATTCTCTTTCATCTTCCACGCTGGAGTACGACGAGTCTTCTGACTTAGATAGTGAATATGAATCCCCGCAAAGGCGGCAGAAAAGGTGTTTCAAAGAGGCGGAGACGTTGTCGCAAAATGAGGGAAATTATGCTTCCATGACGGTTGTGGAGCTTCGAGAACTGCTACGAGAGAGAAATTTGCCTATATCTGGACCCAAAGCTCTTCTTATTTCTCGTCTTCAAGACAGTGATGAAAGGCTACCCTCACCGGAGGAAAACGGTCAGTCTGTCCACATGATGTCTGCATATACCGGTGGTGAATCCTCCGAGGTTGCTTCCTCTTTTTCTTCTTCGGAAGCTGAACATGCAAACCCCCCTCAGACCATGTGGAGCGCTATCCTTGATATGGGATCGAGACTGTTTCGTAAATCAACTGGATCCCTCCCCGAGGGCAATACGGCTTCGTATCGCAAACGCCGACGGAGTGAGTAGACTTGTCTATTGCATCTCAAACGGTGTGCTTTTATATATATATATATATATCTCTCGTATTGTTTTTTGTTCTTGTTAGCCTTCCGTTTTAATGGTTGAAGGTGTTGTTCCTCGTCATGATTTATTATTATTATTTTTTGCCCGTGTCGTGGACATGATCCTACCGATGCTAAATGGACTCAATTGATTGTTTCTTATTAATTTCTTTTTAACACTCTTAATGTCTAATTTCTGTTTTTGCGAACCACAGCAATGAACTCTCAGGAACAGTTTGTCATTGGCTTTGATTTTGGCTCCGACTCGGCGCGGGCCGTTCTGGTTCGCGCCAGCGACGGCAAAGAGGTTGCGGTGGCTGTGGAGCCGTATCACCGGTGGAGCGAAGGTAAGTACTGTGACCCACCACGGAGCCAATATCGTCAGCATCCCTTGGACTATATAGAAGCCCTTGAAATTATTGTTTGTCAGGTGCTGGACCAAGGACCTCCTGGTGTAAGAGATCATGTCGTGGGAATGGCATTTACCACCACAGGCAGTACACCATGTTTTGTGGATGAAAAGGGTGTTCCACTGGCCCTTCAACAAACTTTTTCAGAGAATCCCAACGCCATGTTTATCCTTTGGAAGGATCATACTTCGGTAAAAGAGGCAAGGGACATAAATGAGTTGAGCAAAAAATCTCCTGTGGACTACACAATGTATTCGGGGGGTATTTACTCCTCGGAGTGGTTCTGGTCGAAGGCTTTACATGTGCTTCATCATGACGACCTTGTTCGGGAAAAAGGCTACGCCTTGTTGGAGCTATGTGAATGGCTTCCTGCGCTCGTAACAGGAATTTCATCTTATGCGCAAGTAGCACGAAGTCGGTGTGCATGTGGCCATAAAGCAATGTGGAATGAAGAGTGGGGTGGATTTCCCCCTTGTGAGTTCTTTACGCAACTGCATCCGGCCTTGGCTGCCATCCGTTCCAGAATGGCATTTAATACTTTTACTGCTGAAAAAGCTGTTGGCCATCTTTCTTCGAAGTGGGCTAAACGTTTGGGACTGAAGGAGACAGTCGTTGTTGCTGGTGGCGCGATTGATTGCCACATGGGTGCCGTCGGTGCTGGGATTGGTGAGTACACATTTGTTCGAGTTATGGGCACTTCCACGTGTGATGTGATGGTGTCGTCTCGCGAGGATATTCATCACCGGCGGATCAATGGTATTTGCGGGCAGGTTGATGGATCTGTTATTCCCGGCATGATTGGTTTGGAGGCGGGGCAGTCGGCTTACGGGGATGTTTTTGCCTGGTTTGTCTCGCTGCTCTCTTTTCCACTAAAAACGGTGATTCAAAATTCCACGTTAATTTCTGAACGCGCGAAAACGCAAATTTGGAAGGAGTATGAGCGTAACATTTTTTGCATACTAAATAAAAAGGCGGGGGAAATGCAACCGGGTGTGGGAAATGTGATTGCGGTGGACTGGCTTAATGGCAGGAGAACCCCAGACGCCAATCTCTTTCTCAAAGGAACTATCAGTGGTCTCACCCTCGGGACGGATGCGCCCGGCATTTTTCGTGCCCTTGTGGAGGCAACGGCATACGGTTCACGGGCCATAGTTGAGCGGTTTAAAGAAGAGGGTGTGCGCATTGATCGTGTGATTGCAGTTGGGGGTATAGCAAAGAAATCACCTTTGGTGATGCAAGTTTTAAGTGACGTTCTCAACGTTCCCATACGTGTGTGTCGCACCGGGCAAGTATGTGCTTTGGGTGCAGCAATGTTTGCTGCAACCGCCGCAGGACTGTACGATTCTATTGAGGCGGCGCAAAAGATGATGAGCAGTGGTTTCTCCACCGAATACAAACCGTGTCCAAAGAGAGCAGTGATATACAACATACTGTATGAATCCTACAAACGGCTTGGCTGTGCCACCCAAAAGGAATTTGTTTCTTCTTTGTGATTGCGATTAGGACGACACGAAAACGCTTTTTTTTTTATCCGTTTGGGGAAAGGGGGACGTGGCCATATACGTCTGCCTGCTCGTTTTTTTATTTTTTTATTTTGATATTTTTAATTGAGGAAAAATTCGTGTCCATCTTAGTTGGTCTCTTTACTGGGACTACTGGGGGAGGGGGTGGTGCGGGGCACCTTTGTCCCAGGCGTTTCGATATTTTTTTTTACATTTGAAGAAGATGGTGCTGAAAGGGAAGGAAAAAAGAAGCACTTGGGGCCTTGCATAGGAGAACAATAAGAGAAAGGTGCAAAAGAAAAATAAAACAACGGTTGGAAGCGTTGAACATGTTAAATGGGGGGGGGGGCATCTACTTTTGTTGTTTGTGGAGAAAAAGGCGCAGACTGATGAGGGTAAGACTATCGCTTCCTCCTTAATTCGTCTCCGTGAAGGATGGGTGGGCTGTGGTTTTTGTCTCGGGGAGTCGGTGAGTTTTTGTTTTTGTTTTCTCTTTTATGTCACTATTTGACCCCTTGTCAGTTCCGCTCACGCTGTGGGGCCGTGGGAGGTTGGTGGGCGAAGGAGGAGGAGCCCCAAGGGAGCCGCCCCCATTCAAAATGAGTATGCGTATATAACTTATAAAGTATACGTATACGAGTCGCCTCTTTGGCTTTGGGCCACCTCAACAGTTGGTTTTTTGGCCAGCTTACATTCATAGTTTTTGTCCTTTGAGCTGTCCCGCCTTACTTTTTGTATTTCTCTTGTTCGAGTGGAAACTGTCGACGAACCTGTTATTTCAAACATGATCCCACTCCCCTGCATCTGTCTTCCTTCGCGGGAGTTTATCCACGAGCGTGTTGACGGCTGCCTCGGTGTCTTGCGCTGCAGGTCGCGCCTGCTGATGCTCTTTTTTTTTTGCCTTTGAGCCGTAGTTTTGAACAAAACAACAACATCAACGTGGCAAAAACGAAAAGTGTGAAGGAGAGAAGTACAACCAGCATGGTATTGGATGAGGCGCTGGCGGCTCAATACGCACGGCGGCAGGAGTTGCTAAAGCAGCTAAATGAAGTGAACGGCATCATCCGGGGCCTGGAGCAAAAGATGATGGAAAATGCTGCGTCATGCGTGGATAGGATACCCATAGATGATGCTGCTGGAAGCGACAGCGACGCAGAGCAGATGAACTCTCTTCTTGACCGCTGCGTAGAGGATTCCAATGGCTTGCGAGACGCAATGAAGTTTGTCGATGCCTGCAAAGTGGTGAGAGAAAATACCTCACAAGACGAGGGTAATAAGGAAAAACAATTCTTTTGTAACCGTTTTGTGCATAAAATCATCGCTAGGGCATCCGTACTTGCGGTTGATCCAAATGGAAGTGAACTCCTTCAAAATGCACTAGGACTGCTGAAAAATGGAGGCTCTGTAGCTCCCGCATTGCACTCCACTGACTACAATGCAAACACTGATCGTGACATTTCGGAGGTGCTACTGCTTCTTACGGAGCTGAAAGATAAAATACCTGAGATATGCTATGACACAAACGGCACCCGTGTCATACAGAAACTCTTTGATTACGTCAAAAGTGTAGAAGAGTTGGAATTATGCGCCAATTGTTTTGCTGATTCCATCATACCACTTTGCAAGGACATTAATGGTAGCCATAGCGTTGCCCGTCTTTTGGCTGCAGCGCGTCAGGTGAATTTTTGTGACGAAAACGGAAAGATCGATGCTGCTACTGAAGAGAAACTATCGGAGATTCACCATACGCTGTATAAGAACTTTGCAGGAAACTCTGTTGATGTTTGCCGGAATCGTCAAGGATGTTGCATCATTCAAAAGTGTCTTCAGTGGACACCAGAGCCGTATTTTTCGGCCATTATTGACACTGTTCTACAAAATACCCTCAAACTTGTGAATGATCCCTTTGGTAATTATGTGGTGCAGTTTATTTTGGACAATGAGAAGGAGCTTTCGCAACGCTGCCATGCAGGTCAAGAGGCAACAAACTACACGAATCAAACCATAAGGCAGATGTTGCATAACGTGGCGGCACTTTCATGCGACAAGTTTAGCAGTAACGTTATTGAGAAGTGCTTGAGGACAGTTTCTTCAAATGTGAGGCAGCTGTTAGTCGACGAATTGACGGACCCTCAAGTGCTGCCCAAGCTTTTAACCGACAGCTATGCCAACTACGTTATTCAAACAGCTATTGTGACCTCGTCTGTGGAAAGTCAATTTGAACAGCTGAGGGACTCCATTATGCCGCTTCAAAACTTATTAAGAAATTCCCCTTACGGCGCAAAGGTTGAGGCAAAGTTGGCGCGTCGACAGCGCGCTGCAATTCGAAAACCGGAACATCAAAAGGAGCAGGCTCGACGAAGCGCAGCAATTTCTCATTTTCCTGAAAAAGGCGGCCCTGAGAGTTTGTTGACCACCCAACTTCTGCATGGTATGCACACGATTCCAACTTTGGTTGGATCAGAGGCTCTGCAACAGAACACAGTTGCCTTTTCGAGAATACCGGAGGAGATGACATCCATGATGCCGCAGCCACAATATATGCAGGTGATGTTTCAAGGACAACAGACACTTATTGGTTTGCAACAAGGCCATTCTCAACAGCCCTATCAAGTGAACATGATGAAGGAACCTGCCATGTGGGGCCCTCAGCAAGGCTTCACACTATTCCAACAACCCAACCAAAGGAAAATGGACAGGTAAATTATTACCATCATTATTATGGTTTATTATTGTTACTGTAACTGTTGCCATGCGGTGTGGTGTGAAGGAGGGGAGTTGTAGTCCTGTTCAGTTAAGTTTTGTGTGTGTGTGCCCTCCTCTTGAATTGAGTGGAATCGAAAGGAAAAGAAATGCAGGGATAATGCATTTGAGTTGCAATTTTGGATGTTTGTCCATACGTCTTTAGTGGATACTCGCTATTCTTTACTGAGAAGTTATGAGCTCTTAAAGAGGCACATACTGTGGTTTTTTGTTTTTGTTTTTTTTTTTTTTTTTGGGGGGGGTAGGGGGTAGGGGGGTACCTGAGGATGATATTTTAAAGGAAGTGTAGAGAAGTAGGTGGTGTGCTTCTACTGGGGCCTCTTGTGCGAGCGGTTTGTTTTCGCGAATTCAGCATCTACCGTTTAAAGGCTTGGGAGTGTATTTACGAAGACTGTCCTTTGAGTAATTAAAATGGAGCATGAAATATCATCCGCGGCTTTAGGTCGTCCCTCTTCTACGGCTGATCTTTAGTCTAGGTTTTGATATTCATGTTATCTTTCTACGCATACATAGATTTTCCCCTCGCTCTTTTGAAAAAAAAAAAAAAAACTGCCTTAATTAATTGCGGTTTTATGTGATATGGTAATGATATGGTCCTTTTGTAAATGTGCTTCTTTGTATGCCTTTTTTGTTGCTGTTTTCAGTTTTTTTCTTGTTGCTCAGTGACTTCGGTTGCGGTAACTGTGATGCCAGGAATTATTTCGTTAATCAAAGGCAACGTTGTGACTCCTTCGGAAGTCATCTATGATGGCTTTGTGGTTGTCGTGGGTGGTCTCATTGAGAGTGTGGGGGGCTCCGCAGATTTGCCTTCCGAGAAGGATCTTACACAACAGTACGGTGAGGCTCAGGTTGAGATTGTGGAGGGGGGCTTTATCCTTCCTGGATTTGTGGACATACACAATCATGGGCTTGGAGGTACCAGCGATGTCATTGCCCACTGGACGAATCCCGAATATTCGCTTAAAGAGATGGCACGGTGTGGAACGCTTTGTGGTTTGGCGTCCATGATTTTCTCCTCGGAACACAAGAGCACCGTTAAAAAAGCTATTAAAGAAGTTGAGAAACGTGTTGGTGTTTACATTCCTGATTGCTGCGTTCTTGGCGGTATTCACGCTGAGGGGCCGGTTATTCATGATCTGGGAGGGATGCCTGTTTGTGAAAACAGGTGGTCACTTGAACGTTTTAAGGCACTTTGTGCCACTATGCCTTCAATGCGTATAATGACGATTTCACCACACGTTGACGCGCGCAGCAACTACGAGCTTATTCGTCATCTCCTTCGTATCGGAGTTCGCCCAGCACTTGGACACGACCGTGTCGCCACAAAGAAAGATATTTTGGGTGCTTTGAAGCTTGCAACGTCGGAGGAGGACAGGCTCCATGTCACGCACATGTACAATGTTATGTCTTTTCATCATCGAAACCCATCCCTGATCAATATAGCGCTTTGCTCTTCATTTCCAAACGCCGAAATTTACAAAGGGGCCATTACGCCGTACGTTGAGATTATTGGGGACCTTGTCCATTCCGACGCCATTCCTTTGCATGTGGCGCTTTCTTCCAGGAACTGCGATGAAGTTGCTCTCATCACAGACTGCATATCAGAAAACCGTCATGGGAAGCGTTTTACTTACAATGGGCGCTTAATTTCCGTTCGCGCCGAAGGCGGTTGTTGTCTGTGTGATGCATCCGGCCGGCCTTCAAAAACGCTTGCCGGAGGCACCAGTGCTCTGGTGGATCAATTTATGAACCTGGTCACTCTTATGCGGGTGGACCTCATTTCTGCCTGTAAGATGGTTGCCACGACACCTGCCAAAATTGCCCGCTTAGACGGGGTTGGGTCGATTGAGCGAGGAAAGAAAGCCAACATTTTGCTTCTCAATTCGGAACTAAACACGATAACAAAGCGTATGATTTATGGAAATTGGACTACACATGGTGTGTATCGTATCCTGCGACCATCCGTGTCCCACATGTAAGTACAACCGCGAGTATTGGGAGCGACACAACAAAAGAAGAATAGGAGGTAAGAGAGAGAGAAGAGAACAGAATGTTACGTGTCTCTTCAGACACCTTTCTTATGCAGGATTATTTTTTTTTATCTTGGCCATTTTTTTTTTTTTTACTGCGCGTGTAGCGTACGAACCCTGCGTTTCCGTATACGCAGTCTATCATAGTCACGCGTCTCTATTAGCAATGATGTTGAGCTGCACATCTGCACCTGCAGCTATGGGGTGGGGGACCTAATTCATTTGTCATGGGTTATCTGAGTAAGGCAACCTCAAAAATAACCCGACTACAATTATCATAAGCTTACAACAAGAGAAAGAAACTAATTGCTGGTTTTTCGATGTACCTCTCTGCGTAGTACGGAACGTCAGCACTACGGCAATGTCGCCGACTTCACAAGGGGCATTCGTTGTTATTATCAGTAGCAAATTATGAAGGCAAATATGTGCTCAAATGAGATTAAGCAAAAACGGGGCTAATTTCCCATTTCAAATGTTTTTTTTTTGAAATATTTATTTATTTATTTTTTCTTCTAAACAACACAGGGGAAGATGGGATGGCGCGTGCGGTTTTCCGTTTTTCTGTTGTTTTACTCTGGTCCCTCACTACTGCAAGCGGAGAGGTCTGACAGTTGCAGTGTTCCAGAGACTGCCTTTTCGTGAGTTCCCGCGAGCCGGTGATCACAAGACTCGTTTATGAATCGATTGTGTTTGCCGGTCTATGGGCGGTAAATATAACTGCTTTGAACTAGAATGATTGGGGACAATGAACCCAACTATTTACCTTCACGTACTTTTTTTCTTCGTGCACTGGAGGGGATGGGAGGGGGCATTCAAGGTGCATGTTCTGCTTCTGTCTGTATGGATGGGTGTGGGGGGCGCAGCCATATATAATTGCGTTTATTACGTGAGAGTAACGCAGCAACTCAA